ACCACCACCACCCCACCACCACCACCCCCACCACCTACCTCCACCTCCACCTCCAAGCATCTCCACCTCCACCTCCACCTACACCACACCAACACCACTCAACACCACCACCAACCACCACCACCACCACCACTCACCACACAACCACCACCGACCACCACCACCATCCACCACCACCCCACCACACACTACACCACCACACCACCACCACCACCACCCCACCACCCCACCAACACCACCCCACCACCACCACCACCACCACCACCACCACCTCACCTCCCCACCTCCAACCTCCCTCCACCACCACCAACACCACCAACCACCTCCACCTCCACCTCCACCTCCACCACCACCAACCACTACCACTACTACTACCACTACATACCACTACCAATATCTTACGCACTACCACTACCACTACACCACCCCCAGCAGCCACACCTCCAGCGGTGCATCCACGGCGCCACCCCGAGATCGAGGCTGGGAGAGGCCCTCGAGCGGGACCAGGTAGGATTAAAAAAGATGAGAGTAGGGGAGGAGGAGGAGGAGGAGGGGGAGGAGGAGGAGGGTTGAGGAGGAGGATTAGGAGGAGGTGGGGGAGGAGAGGAGGGGAGGAGGAGGAGGAAAAGCACGAGGATGAGGGGTAGGGAGGATGCAGGATGAGACGAATCCAGGACCGAGGAGGAAGGAGTATGATGATGCTGAGGAGTATTTGTATGAGGAGTCCCAGAGTATGAGCGGGTGGGGTAGGTGGAGGAGAGAGGAGGAGGAGGAGGAGGAGGATTTTTGGATTGCGCTGCTGATGAAGCGTATGGCCTGTCAGCTGATGGCGGCGCTGCGGCTAGCAGAGGCGGTCAGCACAGTCAACTCGTGTGGCTATGCTAAACGGCGAGGCTCGCAAACTCTGCACGGGCACCAAGTCTACAAGTACAGTACAGTACGAGGGGACCCCCGCGACAGAGCGGACGGAACGCGTCGAACCGAAGCAAGGAGTCCAGGCCCTCCCAAACCACATCACACCTCTCCGTACTACCCCCCATAATAGGCGACTGGACGGCGAACGCTAAGGGCGGCGACAAATATGACGTGCTGTGCCTCGTCCAGGGCACTCGGCTGAGGGGAAGGGGGGAAGGAGGGAGGGAGGAATGTGATGTGTGTGAGAGCGAGAAAGAGGGCTGGGACACAGACCGAACTCCTCCTGCTCTCGTAGCACGGAGCTGAGCGAAGGCTGGGACGCAGACCGAACTGCTTTGCTCTCGTGATGTCGTGACATCTCGTACCTGAGCGTGGAAAGGAACTTCGCACCCTCGCGACACGGACGAACGACGACGGCGCAGGCAAGCAACATCGATTACCTTCGCGCTAACCGTGGGAGGGAGGGGCGGCAACAACTGCTAAAGCCAGGCGTCGGCGCCTAGGCACGTCTGGGCCGTGGCAGCACGGCCCAGGTACCAGCCGGAGCAGAATCCACCATCCCATCATCCCCCCGAATCCTGATCCATCATCCCCCCGTATACACATGCCTATAAGCCACACGCGAAGCGCACGAAACAGCAGCGGACATGCCCCAGCTAAGAAAGGTGTGCCGCACGGGTGCAAACGCTCTGGCTGCTCTGAGAGCACTGGCGCACATCGCTACACACCCCTGGGTCAGGCGTACGAGAACCGTTGCTGGAAAAAGCGCTGCGGCGGTGTATGGCAGAATCGGGCTGAATCGGGGGGTGATCGAAAGGCTGAGGCGGATGGACGCGGAGAGAGGGAGGACGGTACAGCTGACAGAGAGCAGCACTAGCGGGAATCCTATCTCTTTCCCTCCTACCCTCCTGGTCCCTCACCTCACATACATAAACAGCATAAGTGTAACTGCTTCGCATGAAGCTGGATATAACATTAAGGCCGCGTGGAGGCACCACAGCGGGAGTTACCACGCGGACAGTGTGCAGGCTGAGGCATCTTCGCACCCTCGCGACAGACAAAGAGATGCATAGAGATACACAGGAACACGATTTTCTACGCGCCGTCGTCAGAGGCTGTGCCGAGCCTACGCCGGAACATCATACCTGAGCGCTGACATGCATTCATGATCCCACTTCTATGGTACTACATATGGATGCCGATGGCCGCATATGCGGCAACCATGGCGGCTCCAGCGGCTTCGATGCCGCCTTGAGCAGCGACAGCGTCACCGATCCTCCGGCTCCTCTGGTCATCGCGTGCCGCGCGGGAGCCAACGGGCTGTCCCAGGGTGTCCGGCACGGCCACGCGCTCAGCCTCCGGATGCCGCGCCGAGGCAGCAGCAGGGACGGGGACCACCTCGCCGAGGGCCTCTGCGGCGCGCTCGGCTGCCTCTCGCTCGGTCGCTGCCTGTGGCGCGGGCACGGCCAGGCTGTCGGCCTCGGCCTGGCGCACAGCGGTCGGGCGACGCCTGGCCCACGCAGCACGGCGTGTGGACGCCTTGCAATGGGCCTCGAAAGCCACGACTGCGGCTGTGGCCTGCCCCTGCCCGGCCAGCGGAAGCCCATGACCACTGGCTTCGGCAGCACCAGCGCCGAAAGCACCAGCAGGCAGACGCGTCACAGGGCGGAGCGCGCGATCACGAGAGGCGTGGCCAACACCACCAGGAGCTCCAGCGGCAGCAGCAGCAGTGGGTAGCACGTACCTGCAATCTCCACGATGGTCCGCACGAACGTCGGCTGCTGGTGGCGGCGGCAGATCTCGTGGAGGCCGTAGCAGGGCCGAAGACGATGACATCAACCTCGGCGAAAACGGCGGAGGTCCGGTTGGCGGCGGCGGCGGCTCCGGCCTGCGAGCCGCCAGTGGCTCAGCAGCAGCATCATGAGCACGATCACGGGCACGGGCCCCGCCCGCAGCCGCAGCCACCAGCTCCGGCACACCAGCGTGACCAGCACGGTCGGGTACGAGAACACCACGAGCAGGTACGGGTCCAGCACCAGGAACTCCACGAACCTGCAGCTCGGACGGAGCCTCCGAGGCAGCAGGCGACGGCTGAGGCCACCATACTGGCGCTACGGAAGCTGGGGGCGGCAGCGCCTCTGGCAGCCAACACCAAGTGGCCGCCGTCGCCGCAGCGCCCTTCAAGGCCTGCGCGGGTACAGGGACTCCCGCCGTCGCGGGGAGCGGCACGTACATGGGCGCATCGGCCCTCATGCCGACGGCGGCCTGGCCCGTCCGCGGCTCGCACCACTTCGCCTCGGCGTTCATGCCGGCAGCGGGAGACGCCTCGCGGCGCGTCGGCCCGCTCTTGGCGTCGGGATGCGTCTCGCCGCGCACCAGGGCATCCTCGATCCTGCGGACCGCCTCGGCGAGCTGCTGGAGCTTGACGCCCACGACGTCGCGGCCGGTGATGCCATCCGGGCATTTTCGGGGCGCCGCCGTTCGCGCGGCGGCGGGGGGGGAGTCGCCTCGGGTTAGGGTTCGCCGCCGCGTCAGTCCGCCTCGAGTCGCCGCCGCGGGGGGCGCTTCCGGCGGCCCGGCCCAGTCGCATACCGCAGTCTCGCGCCGGCAGCTCCCCGGGTCCTGGCCGAGGCTCCAGCGTTCGGGTCCCGGTGTCGTCCGCCCCGCGGTGCCTGCCAGTCGCCGCCGCCTGGGCAACAGTCGAGGGGATACGGCATCCGTCGAGTTTCGCCCGAGTCCTGCGGACCGCCTCGGCGAGCTGCTGGAGCTTGACGCCCACGTCGCCGTGATGCCAGTCGCCGCCGCGGTGCCAGTCGCCGCCGTACTGCCAGCCGGCGCCGCGCTGCCAGGTGCCCGTGCCGCGCAGCCATGCGTCGAGCGCGTCGCGGCGGCGGCGGCGGGCGAGGCGGCGGGCTGCCGACGGGCCCAGCAATCGAATGTCAGCCTGGCGCTGCCAGGAGGGCCGCCACGCGATCGGGCAGCCTCGCACGGGCCGCCACGCCATCGGGCAACCCTCGTAGCCTCCTGCAGCTCCTCACGCGCCTGCGTGCGCCGCTCGCGAGCCCGCGGGAAGGGCTCGTGTCGCGCGGCTGGCCCGCGGCTCGCCTGGCAGCAGCGCCAGGGGCGAGGCGAGGCGGCCGGCGCGCCTGGCAGCTGCCCGGCGGCGCGAGGTGCGCTGCTCCTGGAGCAGTCCAAAACACCTCGGACCAGGGCGGCAGCTGGAGGAGGAGGAGGGAGGGAGGAGAGGGGCAGAGGAGGGAGGAGGAGGAGCAAGAGGAGGAGGAGGAGGAGGAGGAGGAGGAGGAGGAGGAGGAGGAGGAGGAGGAGGAGGAGGAGGAGGAGGAGGGGGAGGGATGAGCGGTGTCGGCATCGGTGTTGTCCCCCCCAGGACCTTCCCATGGAGACAGAGATAGACATGGGCAGCCTTTCCGAGGAGCTCGGTGGCATAGCGGCAACGCTGCGTCCTGGCGAGTTCTCTGGCGTGATCGGAACAGAGGCTGGAATGCAGATACTGCTGAGGGTGTGCTGACCCGCGCACGGAGGTGGCGACACTTAGCGGTCTCCTTGCGGAATCCCTGGGAGGAGGATCCCTTCTCTTCCCTGTTTCCACTTTCCTTGTGCATCGGCGACTGTGTGCCTTCATTGGGCCATCGGCGAATGGTCTCTGGAAGGAGAATCTCCGTCATCATGGTCGTCACCATTACTTGTGTGCATCTGTTCATCGTTGTCGTCGTTAGCACCTCGCCTGGGCTCAGAGTCGCATCAACCCATCAACCCTGCAAATAGCCATACGTAGCTGTGCTGGCAGGATTAATCGGCCCAACATTTCCGCTAATAAGGACGTCGCACATATATCATGCTTAAGCCAAGGCAGCCGAGTGTTTCATAATTTGGTCCCGGTGTGGTCCCCTGCCGCGTGCTCAGCTTAAAGCAGTCGTGTTAGCGCCGAAATTGCGTTGACATTCATCAGTAATGATCAACCTGAGGCTTGCCAACATTCCATCGTCGCCCCCGTGGTCATCGTGTCCAGTATCAACGTCACCTGCCAACCTGTAGTCTTCTCGCTTGGTTCACCTTCATTGTCGTATCGTTTCCCGTGTTCTAAATTCTGCATTTTGTCATCGATATCGCCACCTCTTTCGGTATCCGCATCCATTTGGGCTCAAGTTTTCTACCAATGCGAGGCCAGCGCTTTATCCACGAACATGCAGGTTTATCGGACCCACGCGCCACCTGGTCGAGGAGGTCTGGGCATTGACCCCAGGAGAACTGCTGCTCTGTTCATTAAGCTTCAGGACGAGTTCGCTACTCTGGGTGGCAAGTTTCACCCGCATGTTAAAGGAAATATGGACAGCACCAGCATGCTTGCCAACGCATCCTAGCTCGCCAAAGACCGTCGCGCCTTGGGAGTTAAAGTTTTCCATGCTTCCATAAGTTTTGCCGAAGACGCTTCGGACAACCCGAACAGGTATCTTGGAATTCGGGGTGTATGACGACGACAAGCTTTTCACGCGAGGCATATGGAATGCTGAGATTTGGGATGCCATGGCGCCCGTGCCAGAAGACATTCGAATCAAAGGAAAAGGTGCTTGAGTGCTCTTTCGAACACAAATTTGGAAGAGTCCCTGAAGGCGCACAACATTGAGGCCATAGCGCTGGGTGGCTGTATGGCAAATTGTGTAGAGTCCACTATGCGAGAACCTTGCAAACAAATATTCGACTTGATTGCGCTTTCACTGACTGCGTTGCTACGACGTCGCCCGCAGGGTGTAATGCTGCAGTCGATATTACATTCCCTTTTTTCTCGACGCCAATGAATGCAGCATCTTTCCTAGCAAATGTCAAGGCCGCTGTGTGTCCCTTCAAGTCGCCGTCGGAGCCACCTGCAAAACGGATCAAACCGGAGAAGCCGCAGCACAAGACGTTTGCGTTCGATCGTATAGCCGAAGACGTCTTCCAAGTGGGCCCATGGCTTGTGGACGTGCGGCAGGGCATGCAGGGTGCCAGAGTTGTGGTTCGAAGCGGAGAGCACGAGCTGCGCCGCTATTTGACCTTCGGGGAGGCGTCCGGCATGGTGGGCCAGGGCATCGGGCATCCCCGCGATGTGCGATTGCATCGGAAGAAGGAACATCGGAAGCAGCACAAACTTTGGCGCTCCGCGCGGATTTCTTGGATGGGCGCTGGGCTCCCCTGGCGGCGCTACCCCTGGCGCGCTCCGCGCGCCAGGGAGGGTTGTCCAGCGCCGATTCAAGAAACCCGCGCGGAACTCCAACAGTTCGTGTTAATGCGTTTTTTGTTCCTCTGTGCATGTATCTGACTGCCTAGGGCAAGTCCGCTACGCTGCTTTTCCCGCGTGACGCTTTGTTGTGCGACCTTCCCCTGCGGGATCTCGGAGCATACACATCACACGTGACTGACCGAGTCGTTGCATCTGTCTCTGCCCCCTCGCCGCTGCACCAGCGCTGTTTGCAGGCAGCCTCAAGGAACCTTTTCGGGTTCTACAGGTTCTGCGGCGCCTCTGCGGTCGCCTTCCAGACGTGCTTGGGGGCGGTGGTTCTACCGAGCTCGGTCGAAGGGCCGTGATGAGAACTGACTGGCACCTGATTCTACGGGGCCCCCCGTTGGCCTCTTCGACACCTTTGGGCCGTCTGAGGGCGCGATGGCTGTACCAAGCCCTCCCGACGGGGCTCGGTAGAATCGTTTTGGGGCAGCCTGGATGGATTTTGGAACGGTCTTTGGCCGTCTTGGGTGACCCTTCGTTGGGCCCTCTTGAAGCCCTCTTCGGGCCGTCTTGGGCCGTCTTGGAAGGTGTTCTTGGTGGGGACGTGGACCGCTCAAACCTTGCTGAAGCCAGCTTAAGACGGGAACAGAGCACAATGAGACGCCTTTGTTTTTTTCAATTCGTCTAGGCTCTGGGGGCCATGCTGGAGAGCTCCGTGGTGGCCTCTTATGAAATGTTTCGGGCCTCGTGGGTCCTCTCGGAGACATTTGCACCTCCTGGCGTTCGTTGGGCCGGCTTGAGCCGATTAGATGCATCTTGCAGTCTTCGTGCGGTCTTGGGCTGCTTGTGGTCATCTCGGGGCTGTGAACAGTGCCAGCACGGTAATTTGAGATTGGCGTTTCCCGGCGGGGATCCCTCTCGAGAATTCTTGCGGTACTGCAGTGTAGCGGGCATTGTAAAACGCACCGCAGCTGGCTGCCCTGGCGGCGGCGCCGCCCGCCGCCCGCCGCCGGCCGCGCGACTGGCGCAACGTGCGCCGCGGGACCCGGGCCCGCGCGGCGTCCGCCCCGGCGGCCGACGCCCCCGCTTGCCGGGCGACGCCAGCGCCGACCTGCCCGCGCCGCAGCGGAACGGACGCGCCCGTCAGCAGCGGGGACATGCTGGCCGCGTTTTTCGCCGGCCGCTCTTGGTGGCCCCACGCCCTCGCGCACGGGCCGGGCCACGTCTTCTGCCTCCGCTGCGGCGACAGTTCGGCATCGGCAGCAAGCATGCTGGGGAGCGCGTGCCCGGGCTGGCGGGAGCGTCTGCCGGCGCGGTGCCAGGCGGCGCTGCTCCTTGGGGAATTGCCCCGCGCGGGTGGCAGCGCGGAGGCGTTTGCATGCTTGGCGGCGCAACGCATTGCGCAGCTCCCAAAGGTCCTGGATTGAGCCTTTGGGCGGGGTCGAGCGCCGCGGCTGCGCGTGTGCTCGTTTTCGCACGTCAAAAAAACGCAGTCTTTGTGTTGGCATAGATTAATGGACTCGCGTATTGGGGGCCTCTTGGGGTTTCTTGAGGCCTGCCTTCTGGGAGCTTGAAGCCATCTTGGGGGGTCCTGGGGTCGCGCGGAGATGTCTTCGGCCCCTCTGGAGGAACATTTGGGGTGTCCAGGATTGTTTGCGTTGGGGCCGCCTGGGGCCAGCGTTGGGTGGTCTGGAGGCCGTCCTGCGGGTCCCTGGGCAGTTCCAGTGCCGTTTTGGGCAAAGCTTCGCCGGCTCTGGGATGCTCTTGTCGGAGGTTGATAGACCTCCTACCCTGACGCGTTGATCAGCCAATTGGCCGTTTTCGGTTCGCGGGAGGGCGTCGCGGCCGTCATTTTGCGGGTCCGGGTCCTTCGGTTTCGGTCCTAGGCCGTTTTCACTAGAAAGGGTGGTTTGCTGAAGGGAGGTTTGCCCACCGCCGATCTTGGGCTGTTTCAGAGCGAGGCAGCACACCTACATTCCATCACCCTGGTCTTTGCAAGGGGACATTGTGGCGTATTTTACGAAGAGGCCTGAGGCAGGGAAGTCGATTGAGCCCTTCGGCTGGATGTGCAACGTGACAGGGATTCGTTTGCCAGCGCCCGATGGTGGTTGTGTACTCTACTCCCCCGTGTTGGCGCCGAATGGCACAATTGACAAGGTAGTTGTAGCACTCACTGAGCAGAATCTGTTGCCAGTGCGCATTATTATCTCCCCAGCGCCTCAGCACCACCTTGCATTATCTTCTTACCAGGAAGCCTTTCCGGATGCATTTTACATATGTGGCAAGGCTTCAGGGCAGATGCCACCGCTTACTCGAAAGCGTCGTGATCTCCGGTTCGATGGGGTCATAAGTCCGACTTGCAACGACGAAGTTGTGTTGAGTGCTCTTACCGTCGACAGAGAGGAGTCAGACCCAGCCAGTGATGCGAGGCAGGCTACCAATAGGCAGCTTTTGCAGTCTCCATTCCATACTTGCACTCTCGATGACAACCGTTCAGGGGATATTACTCTTGTCCATGAGCTGTCTAAGACGCTGATCATGTCCGATCTTCTGTACAAGTCCAACCCCGACATTGTCGGACCTGGTGGGAAGTTCATTCACTACGCGACTCCAGCCTGGTTTGTAGAAGGTCGACGAGAGTTGTTTTATGGTCACCCTCAGGATAACTCTGGGGGGTTGCTGCCGTCTTATCCCACACATCCTCGCATAAGGTCTATCGATTTTCCAGGAATGCGGTGGTCTTTGTACAAGCTCTTACCGTTACTGACTTTCCAATTTCCACTTTTCCCGCTTCTGTGTATTCGCAACGTTAGGAAACAAAACATATGCCCGCACCGATGTAATGTATCGTAACGCCCCCATATGGCGGATCCAGACCATTTGCGAGTAGCTGTTTTGCGATTTGTGGAAACGCGCTTTTCTAGGGCACCAGCACCGGCGCTGGCAACAGCATCGGCGGCAGCAGCAGCAGCAGCAGCAGCAACAGCAGCAGCAGCAGAGGGAAGAGGACCATGTCGTTCCATGCATGGGGTCGTTGGGAGAGGGACCTCTGAGACGGGCGATGTCGATGCCTCAAGTCCACAGGGTCGTCGCAGGACGCTTTCACTTGGATGTCTCAAAGTCAACGCCGCGGTCTCAGAAGCCCCCCTTCGCCAGCGTCCCTTCAAGCAGCGCGTCAGAGGAGGATCTTGGGTTCGGGTGCGCTCGCAGCGTCGAGCGACCCAGCGACGCACGGGCGGAGGAGGGCAGATGCCTCTGTCGCAAGGGGCTCCCAGCGGAAGGCGCGAGGGCGGCGCTGACGGAACTCGGTGCGGGAAGAGAGCGCAGCCCCGGCAAACTGGCGTTACTGGGTTCGCCATCAAGTGCGGAATTGACACTTGCACGCGCCGCGCTCTACCTCGCCGCCCGTTGCCACCTCGTGCGATGGGTGGGTCCTGCGACGCCCCTTGCGGCCTCGTTGCTGCCTCGTGCGCTGGGTGGGTCCGGCGAGGTTCCGCCAAGTTGTCGCCAATGCCGCCTCGTGCGCTAGGTGGGCTCGGCGAGCTTTCGCCACCTTGCCGCCGATTGCCGTCTCGTTGCCGCCTCCGGCGCTGGGTGGGTCCAGCGAGGTTTCGCTGCGGTGCCGCCCGTGGTTTCCTCGTTGCCGCTTCGTGCGCTGGGTGGGTCCAGCGAGGTTTCGCCGCGTTGCCGCCCGTGGCCGTGTCGTTGCCGCCTCTAGCGTCTGTTCTCTTTTCAACGAAGAAATTCGAACCCACCACCCCCCCCCCCAGGACTGATCCCCCCCCTGGGGACTTGCAATTTACGGATGACTCTGCCCCATAGTTCAATAACTATGCACATGAAGTTAAACCGCTTCATTCCTGCCAGTATAATGTTGTGCGCGCTCACTCGTTTATCACAAGTCATCAGTCTGCAGGAATCCTTACAAATTCCACGCGCGCGGCGTCGCGCGCTAAGGATTTCGTTAGGATTTCATGGCCGAGTGTCCCGAAAACATATCAACGACCAATGGTTTTGCAAAGTGGTTTATCAGCGTGCGCACCGTTACGATTTTTAAAGAAAACCAGCGGTTTCCAAACTTTTTCATCAAGTACGACCAAGCGGGCCTCCCGCGGGCGCATGTCGGAATCAATCGTCGAACGCCCTTGCGCGCGTGCCGGGGGGGGGCGGCGCGATCCCCGTCACATAGAACCATATGCCCATGTCGCGCCTGTCGACCGTGCGCACATGTCGAGATCCTTCCAGAACTTTCACCACCGATGCGTGGACACCGCCATCTTCGTCGGCGTGATCAGCATCAACGCCGTCATTGGCCTCACCGTCGTCATCGTGATCCCCGTCACCATCATCGCTACAATCATTATCGTGTCTGCGGTTGTCGACGTCGCAATGATACCGCCCCCGTCCGAGTCACCGACTCGCACTGAAGTGCCCGCGCCGAACTAGCTGGCCGCTCTGCGCGCGAGCGTGAGCGCGCTAGCGCGGCCGCAGCGAGGCGCCAGCCAGCGCCGAGCAGTCATCGCAATTGCCGTCGCATGGATTTTGCAAGCCAAGTTGCGGGTGGGTATGTAGGATGATTGCACGAGCAGTGGAGTTTACAACTTCAAGTCCAGCAGGGTGAACTGCACCAGTGTGCTTACACAGCAGTGTCTGCGCCACGTAACTTCCGCATCCACCGTGCAATCGCTTACTGCTTGGGGTTCACGCTGGCTGGTTGCCAGTGATTTACGGCTTTCTGTAACCAATCAGCGACGAGCGGCCGTGCCACTATGTGTAATGGTTTGATCAAGCGTGTGAATTGAAATCTTCCAGAGCGGCAGCGCCACCTCGTTCTGGAACCATCCCCCATCCCCTCATGATCATCCTCGTTCTTTTCCTCCTCATGATGATGATGATGAGGATGCTGATGATGATGACGATGATGATAAGGATGATAAGGATGATGATGATGATGATGATGATGATGATGATGATGATGATGATGATGATGATGATGATGATGCTGTTGCTGTTGCTGTTGCTGATGATGATGATGATGATGAGGAGGAGGAGGAGGAGGAGGAGGAGGAGGAGGAGGAGGAGGGGGAGAAGGAGGAGGAAGAAGATCTGGAACCATGGTGGCTCGAGCCTCCCTCCCATCCCCCATCTTTTCTCCCACTTTCTCGGGATCACTGCCGTGCTCGACATCCGAGTGCGAATAGAGAGGAGATCTACGCCATGGTACGGGATGGGAGGGATGGGGCAGGACGTCAGATATGACGCGGGCGCACCTAGCTTGTCTTTTCCCTCCCTCCCCCCACTTCGATGCCAGGGCGGCCGCCCGCATGCCGCGCGCGGGCGCGGCCGTGCCGCGGGTGCGGCTGCAGCAGTGCGGCGCGGGCGGCGCGGGGCTGGGCCCCGATGTCCGCTGCGGGGGCTGGGAGGTCGCGGACAGGCCAGGCGCCTCCTGCGGCCTGGTTCTCTGCGACGGCGCCCGCCTGCAGCGCGCCCGCGTGCTCCAGGGCCGCCAGGAGCTGCACGAGCTGTGCGACCCGGAGGCGGGCGACTGGCCCGTCGCCGACATCGCCAGCCTCCTCTTCGTGCGCGGCGCACTCTTCGTCCTCTCCACCTCGAGGATCGGCGGGGGCAAAGGGGGTGGACCACCTGGGGGCGGGCACCACAGGCGTTCGCAGGGGAGCCTCGTCGAAGACGCAGACGGCCGGAGCCCCAGGAACACGTTCCCAGGTATCCGACGTCGAGTTTTTTGTTGTTATGCTTTGCCCTTAACGTCAGCACCCAAAGGTCTGGCCCCTGGATCGGTCCTTCATCCGGGGCCGCTTGTTGGCGCTCCCGGCGAGGGCCCCCAGAGTGCGAAACCGGTCCAGAGCGTCCGCCGCGCTCTGCTCCACTGCGAGTGGAGGTGTGGGCAGTGCTTCCCCACCTGGGCGGTCCGCCCCTGCCGCCGTCGCCGAGAGGCACCTGGCCTGGGCCGTCTGGCCGCCCAGCGGCGCGGAGGGCGCATCCGGCAGGCCGGCCCGCGGCGGGGAGGCCGCCGGCGAGGCCCTGCGGGTGTCCTGTGCCGCGGGCGCCGCGGCCGAAGGGCGGGTGCTCGCGGCGGCGCGGGGCGGCGCCCTCCTGCTGGTGGACGCGCGCGGCCGCCTCCTCCGGGAGTGCGGGGCGGCCGGGGCGGCGGCAGAGGCGGAGCTCGCCGCGGCGGTGCGCCTCCGTGCCGTCCTTTCGACCGATCCCCGGCCCCAGCACCGGCCCGAGCCCCACCGTGCCAGCACCCCCGTCGGGGACAGGCCCCTCGAGACCCGCGGGGAGCAGCCCGTAGATCCCCGCTTCTAGAGGTGGGTCGGCCAGTGGGGCCGAGGCCGCGCCAGCGGGGACGGGCATCGGTGAAGCGATGGCCAGGTGCACGGGGCGTGGGCCGTGCTCGTGGCCGCGCCCGGCGGCGGCCCGCGTGCCGTGGAGCTCCGCGCCCTCGACACGCTGGAGCTCCTCGCCACGGTGAGCCTGGGTCAGGTCGCCGTCTTTTTTGATTAGCGTGTTTTCCACCACCACCACCATAAGTTGGAGGGGGGGGGTCCTCCTCCTCCTCCTCCTCCTCCTCCTCCTCCTCCTCCTCCTCCTCCTCTTCGTCCTCCTCCTCCTCCTCGCCCTCCTCCTCCCCCCCTCCAACTTATGGTGGTGGTGGTGGACAACAGGCTCATCATTTTTCTTCACCGTTTCGCCGATCGGGCCCTCTTCCCGCTCTTGCGCGCTGGCCAATTCGCTCTTCGGCGCCCCCGCCTAGCCCCTATCGCTGGTGCAGCCCACTCTGCCTCGCCGCCGGCGGAGGAGAGTCTCGCCCTGGCTCCTCCCCCCTCCCCCCCATAGACCAGATGCTGGCTACTCTTGGCGGCTGCTCCTGGCGGCTGGTCAGGACCCCCCCCCCCAGTCTGCCTGCGCGACTGCTGGAAGCAGAGCGACCAAGCACTGGCCCAGCCCCAGACCCCCCTTTCCCCACCCTTCGGCCGAATGGGCGACGCAGAAAACTGGGGTCGTCTGTGCCAACATCGGCACGTAAGCTGCCCGCGTATGGTCGGACGTAAGCACCCTCGACTCCGATGCAGCGCGCCGCGCCGGCGGCCCGCGTAAGCCGCCGCGGAAGGTCGCTACGCCATCTCGCGTGAGGCTCGGTTTTGATTCGTCGCTCCAGTGTCGACGTAGGCGGATATGAAGGAATCTGGTTGCAAGAAGAGCTGTCGGCATTCCACGCTGATGTGGTAGCAGCAGCAGCGGAGGCCGCCACCACACTTGCAATGAAAAACTGAGCAGACCCACGCAATGACATCTTTTCTTCGTTCCGCCAGCTCCGTGGGCGGATAGTCAACCAGATCATGGGAGATCCCTGGCTTAAAAAAATGTCGAGGCCCATCATGGTCAGGAGGGAAAGAATCACACAGACACAATCACTCGTCCATTTCAAGGAAAGTATGCGAAAATATGGGAAGCGGGGGGAATACAGACACCCAGAAAAGGGATGTGAATATATGGGGCATCCTGGGATCTGTGTGTATTTCTGAGAAAACACGCGCCTGCCAGCACCGCGTGACCCACGTGCTCTGATACGCACGCTTCGAAACGTATCACGCGCCGTGATCAGGACGTCCGTGCTGTAAACGTACGTGTTCAGTCTGCGTGTTGAGCTCCGTATCAATACGCTACGTGCTGCGTGTTGCGTATCGGGGCAGCTGAGGGCGAGGCCCAGCGTTCGAAAAAAACAAGCGCCTGCCAGCACCGCGTGACCCACGTGCTCGCGGCGGCTGGCGGCCCGGGCGCTTCCTGCTCGGGGAGCCTCGCCCTCGGCGCGCTCGAGACTCGGGCCGCCACGGCGCGGCCGGGCCCGCACCGCGCGGTCCAGGCGCTCGCGGCGGGGGCCTCGGGCGGGTGGTAAGGATGTGATTTTTGAGTCGGGCCTATCCTTCTGCAGGAGGAATATCCAAGAATGGTTTTAAAAGTAGTCTGGTGACGATTCTTTGATCATCTGTATGTTTCGGGGATATTTTTTGAATAGTTTCATGTTTTTCGTCCAACAGCCGCTTGCAGGAGGACATGCCCGACCTAACCGTAGTTGGGGGGTGGTAATGACGTAATTGCCATGGCGCCAACATCGCACAGCGGATTTCGTTCGGAAGACGATAGGGTGGGCCCAGGGTGTCCTGGAGAATTTCGTTCCGGATTTCGAGGTTAATTTCGTGCGGATTCGTGTGGCCAGGAAGGAAGACAAAAAAAGAATCCACGCGAAATTCATTCCGTTTTTCGCTCGCCGCTACGGGCAAACACCCACGCAGAAATCCGCGCAGAAATCCGCTGCAGCATGTCTGCAAGGCCCGTGCAGTGATGGCTGGGGGGTGAAGAACGGGGCCTCCACAAGGGGCACTTTGCCGGCCCCTTTGGGAGCCGGCAGGGTCCCGAGAGGGGCCGCCGAGAGGGCCCCTCTCAGGGCCCTGTTCCTCGCTCCCCATTGAGGTCACCTCCCGTTGCCACCCGCCCGAGGAGGAGGAGGAGGAGGAGGAGGAGGAGGAGGAGGAGGAGGAGGAGGAGGAGGAGGAGGAGGAGATCGGCGAACTCCAGAGCTCGCCCTCGCCGAGCCACGATTCGGGCAACCCGAGGGGCGGCTTCGTTACAGCACAAGTCACGGGAGCCCGGCCTCCCCCCGCAATATTCCGTCTTCGGCGTCGCTTGCCGTGGCTCCCACGAGTTGCCACGGAAGGCGGCGGCGGTTCGAGAACGGAGTTCGTCGAGCCGGGCGAAAGGGGGGGATTGGGAAAGGGGGGGTTACGAAATTTGCTGCATGCAGCTGGTTTCGGCCTCACCGAGGGGCCCATTCCTCGATACATAGCTCCTCCGGCGCCGGGAGGCGCCGGGAAAATCAGCTACGTGAGCTGATTCTCAAACCCCCCCTTTGCTATCCCCCCCTTTCGCCCGACCCGAAGTTCGTCGAGCACGTGGCGAACTCCGAAGCCCACCCCGGCCTACCATCTGTTCAGGGCGAGCGAAGAACGGTACAACATGAGCTTTTTCGCTGTCGGGGGCGCCTGTCCCTGGGCGGCTGGAAAGTTTATATACCCCTACGGTGGCACCGTAAGGGTATCAACTTTCCAGCCGCCCTGGGACAGGCGCCCCCGACAGCGAAAAGTTTATTTCATACCGTTCTTCGCCCGTTCATCACCACCCACCAAACCACCCCAACCCAACCCGAAGGCTCAGATTTACCCTCGATTTCCAGTGGGGGGGGGGGTCGGGAAACATCGAAAAAACACGCGTGGAACCCTTACCCCCCCCAACCCGAAATTCGGGTCTTCGGGTTGGGTTGGGGTGGTCTGGTAGGTAGTCAGTTAAAGGAGTCGCTGGTTGGTGGGTGTCGGGTTCGGATGTCGCCACCCAGGCGGGCGACGCTCCCGGCTCCTCCTGCTGGGCCTCCGCGGCCGCCCCTGGCACGCTGCTCCTCGTCGCGAGGGAGCCTCTGGCGGTCCTGTCGGTCGCGCTCGACGACGGCTGCCCGGTGGCCGCGAGCTTCGCCCCGGGAGGCCCAGACGTGTGCGTGCTGTCACCAGTCGTCGCCGAGGGCGCGGTCGTGACAGCGGCGTGCGGCGGCACCATGCCAGACAGCCGAGCGTACGTCCTGGTCCTCGGCCTCTCCGACGGCTCGGCCTACGTGCTGCGGGCGCCGGTCCCGGGGCCACACGCCAGCGCGGGGAGGCTGCGAGCTGGGCAGCTCCAGGTCTGTGGCAGGCATGACATCGCGCGGGAGGAGTGCTCCCCGGTCGTGGCGTGCGGATTCACCAGGTGGTGGGAACAGGTCGGGAGATGCGCAACGTAACCAAAGAGGTGAACAGCCGTTCTTTAGTTCCTTTTCGTCCCTAGAGCTCCTGTCACACATCGCAAGGTCATCACTCAACCTTGACCCCCTTGTTCTTCTCACGATGCCTTGCCCTGCTGATATTGCCCCCGTGGCATGCGATATCAATGGCACCCAGCAGACACACCACTAAGAGCGCGCAAGGGTGCTCACAGTTGGCAGAAGGGTTCAGGACAACCCAGGCTTTGGATGGGGTGCTCTCATGCGCTTCGCTGCTCAGTCTCTCCACCCTGCAGTGTTCTTCGTTTTGGGTATCTCCATGGGGCTCACACCTTGGGGTTATTTGCATCGCGCCATTTTGGCAGCGTAGTTACCGACTCCCTGGGTGCAGGTCCCTGGGCGTCAGACACCCTGGGTTGCAGCACCCTTGCACCCGCCGCACCGGCGCCGGCCGCGGCCCGCGCGCGCGTCCGGCCAATTAGTTTCGGCCGCAGCCCGACCGTTACTCGCCGCCGCTGGCGCTTCCGCCCGCGGCTGTAAAACAAAAAAAGTATCTCCATGGGGCGCCGGGCCTTCGGCGAGAGGGCTCCTGCTCTTGACCCACACTCTCGTGGCCATGCGTCGACTGCGCACACGAGGTGCGCAGTGGGATGCACACGAAATGGTCCACGAGGTGCGCAGGTGGAGGAGGAGGAGGAGGAGGAGGAGGAGGAGGAGGAGGAGGAGGAGGAGGTGGAGGTGCGAAAGCGGGCGCGTGCGTTTCGTTCTCGGGGACGCGCCGCACGGTGCGGCACGCACGCCAGGGCGCGCACGGCCGGCCCCGCTCGCGCGGCGCCTCCCGGTGCGCGCGGCACGGCACGCGCGGGCGCGGCCTGCGACGGCCCAGCAGGAAGCCCTGGTTCTTGGGGAGGGGGGTCGATCTGGAGTATCCAACTCCTCCTCCTCCTCCTCCTCCTCCTCCTCCTCCTCCTCCTCCTCCTCCTTGTCTTCCTGTCATCGCCGCTCTCGGCCTCTGGGCCCCGTCTTGGGCCCTGGGGGCCGTGGAGCGGCAGCTCTGGGCAAAGAGCCCTGGGGGCGAGAGGGTCCTCTGTCGATCGACGCAGAGCCTGCGTAGCTTTGCAGTCGTTGTGCTACCCTCATCACGGGAGGAAGAACCACCCGGACCCGACAATCGGCGTTTGCGAAACGGCCCTGGGCGTTGACTAGACAGCCCTGCCCTGCTCGATACCTTCTCTGGGTGCGTTTGCTAAACGGCTTCGCTTGTCGGGGTGGTTGTTCTGGGGGTGGATTTTTTGCCCTCTTCGTTAGAAGCTGAATGAGGAGCGAAGGGGCCTTTTGGCCACGGCGATCCTCGGCCACGAATAGATCCCCCGACGTAGATCTAAGAAGCGGCCCGAAAACCAGAGGCCGTGCTGATCTCACAGGGCCCCCTACATCGGCGCTCCGAAGGTTCTTCCGTTTGGCGAAGCACGGCTCGGTACGGATGCAGCGCGGACGCATGACTGCAAGGTTGTTGCACTAAGGAAGTCATTCACGAGCCTCGCGGACCCTGGCAGACCGCGTTCGGGCGCGCGTTCCGGACCATCAGGGGCAGAAAAAGGGATCAGCCGAGCAAAACGGTATGTGCAGGAAACCCTCAGCGTGAGGCTCATTTTCGGGCCCGTCGGACAGGACCCTTTGAACAAAGCGGGCCTCTTTTGGGTTGGTCGGTGAAGCTTTTGCAGGTCCTCTTCGGGGCAAGCCCGATGGTTTTCCTGCGTAGATCCTGTGCGGCTTCTACATGTTCGGATCCACACGCAGTCCGGGCTTCAAGTGCTTTCCAATTGAGAGCCGAGGCCGGATTCTGGCCAAGAGGGCGGCGGGCTGGGCTTACATTGTGCTTGTCCCCGGCGGCCAAACGGCGTGGGGCGCTGGTCCTGCCCTGGCCCGCGCCGTTCCTCCGCCCCCGGTCCCCAAGCGGCTCGCGCCAGCCATCTTCGATCCCGCGCCGGCCTCGATGGCGATCTTAAGGGCGGGGTGCGCACACGAAGCGTCCAGGTGAGTTTCGGTTAGACAGACGAGAGAAGGCAGAAAAGGAAAGAAGACAAACGTGCTTCTAATTCTGCTCGCTTTGATAAAGTATCTGAGCATTCGCGTAAGATAGTATGAACTCAGATGAGACGAAGGCAGGCTCAGGTCTGGATTCGCGCAGGCCGCCCGGATGCATCGTGGCAGGATCGGGGCATCCATCGGAGCGGCGCAGTATTCCAGCGTATGGACTGCAGCTAGTCAGGGAAGCGGGCAGACCAGAGCTGGCGGGTGCTGGTCGAAAACTCCGTGGCTCTGCGCCAGCGTTCGTGTTGAAATCCGCGCGGATTCACCCCATTGCTTATGTACGCGTTCGATCGCGGAACCCTTGATGAAAGCAACCGCCCAGCTCTCGCACCGAGGACCGCCAGAAGACCGCCAGATTACTGCCAAAGGCCGCCCAGGCCGATGGGCAACGGGTGGCCCAATGATCGAATGTGTACGGCCGGGAACTTTGGGATAGCGTGTCGCTCCGCTGGCTTTGGCCCACCACGCTTCGGCGCGACACGCTGTCCACTTCCTGGTCCCCAGGCGTCCACGTCCCGAGCCTGTCCAAGCCTCCCGCCCAGCGGGGCGGAGCGACACGGTATCCGCTTGCAAGGGACAGTGTGTCGCCGGGGCCGCTAGGGCGACACGCTAAGCAAGAGCTCCTGACCGGTTGGTTCGCGTCGTGCAGATGCGGAAGCGACCACGCCGCGGGCGCTCGTTGCTGAACGCTGCCGGTGGTGGCCCAGATCAGCCGACGCGGAACGGTCCTGCGATCGAGGCGCCGCCGAGCCTCCTCCAGGCTCAGCGCTCCACGGGGTGTCGGGGACCACCGCCGACGCCCTCGCGACGCGAGCCTGCCGCGCAGCGCCCCGCAGCGCCCGCCAGGGCGGCGTGCCGCGCGCGGCGCTCTTCGCCGCCGCGCGCTCGGGTGGGCGCTGGCTGTGGCTCTCGCGCCCCGCGGGCGCCGAGGCGCGGCCCGCCGCCGAGGCCGCGGCGGGCGGCGGCCGCGCGCCGAGCCCGGCCGCCGACGCCGCGAGCGAGGGCGCCGAGAGCGAGGCCGACGTGTGGGCGGACGTGGGCCTCCCCAAGGAGCCTCCGCTCGGCCTTCGGAGGGGGGGGGGGAGGAGGAGGGGGAGGAGGAGGGGGAGGAGGAGGAGGAGGGGGAGGAGGAGGAGGAGGAGGAGGAGGAGAAGGAGGGGGAGGAGGGGGAGGGGGAGGAGGAGGAGCAGCAGAGCGTCACCTGAGGGGGACACACTCAACATTCATCTTGAGAATGCTGGGTAGGCGTGCAAGGCCCGCATGCAGGACCTTCGAGCTGTTGGCTGCTGGGCCGTTCAGACGTAGGGGGGTTGGTTCAACTGCCAGTTGAAGGGGACTATATATTCGGCTTGTGTTCGGGATCCCTTCTCTTTGTCTATAGTTCCCAGGGAACTATTGACAAAGAGAAGGGGAACGACAAGCAGGCCCCCACAGGGGCGGGGTAGCTAAGTCCCACCGCACCCTGGGGGGGAGGTAGAGAGGGAAGAAGGGAGGCACCTGACGGTAACCTAAGAAGAGGGGTGGAGTGGGGGGATGGCGACAGCGCGGGTGGCAAGTGTGGCGATTGCATGAGCAAGCGTGGCCGGGGCCACACTCGCCCAAGGTAGGATGGCACAAGGCTCTCTCCCCTTCCCGAGTGGGAAGACCCCGAGTCGAGGCCAGGGAACCCACGCCCGCCGAGGCAGGCGAAGGGTCCTCCTCCTCCTCCTCCTCCTCCTCCTCTTCCTCCTCCTCTTCTCCTCCCTCAGTCCTTCCTCCCTCCTCCCTCCTCCGGCATTCCTACTCCATGCGTGTAGCTTCCCTCCCACCGCCCATGATCTCACACCCCACAGTGGCTGGGATCCCCCCCCCCCCAACGGTTTGGCGAAGTGTGGCTTCGAGCTGCGCAAGGCGATGCGGACACGGCCGCACCTGCTGAGTGGCGGCGGCCGTGTGGGGGCTCAGTACAAGCCTCCCTAATGGCTTGCCGTGAGAGCGCGGTAGGCCAGGGTTCTGGAGGAGGCAGCTGGGCCGCTGGCGGTGGCTGCAAGCAGGACAGCTGAGCGGCTGGCGGTGGCTGTGAGCGGTGGCTGACTGTGGCTGTGGCCACGCGCGCCCAGAGGGTGGCATGGCGCAAGGGCCTTTCCCCTGCTGTCTGGAAGCCCCCCTACTCCGGCCCCCAGTCCGACCAAGGGACCCTCGCCCGCCGAGGCAGGCGAAGAACTCCAGGGGAGGGACTGGCGGCCAGGTGGGGGTTTCCCCGGGCGTGGGGAGGGTGCGCCATCCTGCGACGGTGGCTATGGTATAGGTTACATGCAGCCCGCCTCCATCTACCTGGCGATGGCTGCATTGCTGAGGTGACGAGTGCGATGGCTGTCTGTGTGAGTGAGGAGGCCTCGTGAGGAAGGAGGAGTGATGGAGTGGAAGCACGGTGCGGCAGGTTAATCATACTGTGGCACGGGAGTGCTGTAGGCAGCCGTGACACCCGCTCTGGCCCTAGCCAGCGCGGCTTTGAGAGACGAGGACGTGACGGGTGGCGAGCGTAGAGGTGGTGTGAGGAAGTTGCTTGGGAGTAGGCGTGGCGCAGGGACCGCGGCCATCCTGGCCGATGCCATGATAGCCGGCGGCGGTTGACGATTGGAGAGAGGTAGGGTGAGAACCACAGGTGCGCGGATGGAGGCAAGTAGCTTCAGAAATCTGGTTGCAGTGTGGTTGCTGCCCGCGGCAGTCTCGGCCAACGCCGCGGCCGCCGACGGTTGCGTTCTCCTCCCCTGCCCAACCCATAACCTCACCCGTCCCGCCCCACAAGAGTGGTGAAAGTGTAGGTTAGTTGGGAGGGAAGTGGGCGAAACGTGATCGAAATGGGCAGCCAGGAGGGAATGGAAGGTTGGGAGAGAGCTTTCAGTGGCCTAACTGATGGTGGGTCCTTCGGTTCGCATGCCTCCGAGGCCCCACGACGGTATGATTGAGGTAACACCAAGCAGGCGCATGAGAGTACTCCATCAGTTGCCGATGATCCTGCCCGCTGTGGGTGAGAAAATTGCGGCGGGCTTTTGAGCCCTGTGTTACCGCAAACCCAATAGTATGCGTCGGATTACGTGCGTCCACAAGAGAATCACGTCGATTGCTTAGCACAGGTGGGTGAGAAAGCCACGGCTGGTTTTGTAACCCTATGTTACCGTGGACCCACTGTATATCATAGCCTGTTGTATTTGTAGCCTCCGTACTGATTCTGTGTGGCACTTCGGATGAGTCTGCTGTGGGTGAGAAAGCCACGGCGGGTTTGGGAGTCTTATCTTACCGTGGATCTGCTATCTTCGCGTCGCATGAGATGGTCGCAGTCGCCGTTGCTAGTGCTATTGTTTCTTGGGGGAGAGATGTGAAGTGCTGTCGCGTACCGTGTGCGTTTAGGGTTGACCAGCTGCTGCTGCTGCCGTAACAGTGAGCGCGGCGGTTCGGGTGAAGGATCGTGCCGAGGTCGGGAGTCGGTAATGGTGCAGCTGGTGGCGCGTGGCGTTGCCTGAGCAACAATGCGTAGGAGTCCTGCGGTCGCTGGTGGCAAACATGGTGTGTGGGTGGGGTGATGACGCACTGACGGGCTTCTGTGTGCCATGTCCCGTCTCGGCATGAGGGTGGCGTACGCCTCGTCGTCGTTGGTTGTGGGTAGATGAGCTGTAGGTGGTGCCGCTCTGATCTGCAGGGTAGAGCCACACTGGGGTGGGCGTCGTGTTGTCACCGATCACGTTGGCGGCGTGCTCGCTGTGGGGTTGTCCGCTCCTGATGCGGTTCCCGTGGGCTTGGTCGCGTGCGGCCGCTGGTTGTGCTGGTCGGTCAGTCAGCGTCCGCCTTGGTGTGGTTCATGTTGTCTTACAAAGGGTAGTACTCGTCCTCATTCTGGTCCTGGATGCCGTCGTGTTGGAGCGCAGTACCAGGTATCTCGTGTCGGATAGGTCGGCCTCGCTGCTGGGCGTAGTTTTGTCCGTTATCATTGCGTGAGTTGCTGGTGGTCGTGGCAGTGGCATGCCCTCTAGCGGGGATGTTGGGAAGGTGTGCTGTGCCAGCAGGAGCTGCTGCAGATGCTGGTTGAACGCCCTGCTCTCCATTGTGAGGACCAGTCCTCGCGTGAAGAGGTCGCGGGTCGGCATCGTGTCGTGGCCACTCTGGGTGGCTGACACAGTAGCAGGTCCCTGCTGGTGGCCGTGGCTCCCTTTGCTCTGTGCCGGTAGGTCGTTACCAGAAATTGCTGGGCCTGTCGCGGTGCCGTGGTGGCTGGGGACGTTCGTGGGGTCCGATGATGGGTCGTAGTCGTCGGGCTCCTGGTCCGTTGGTTCTGCTGTGTAGGGCGACTGGGCTGCTGGCGTCGTTGTGTTGCAGCAGTTGGTTCATCCAGTAGATCGTGTCCGTGGCGATGTCCTTCTGGAAGAAGGAAGTGGTGGACGGTGTTGGTGTCCCCGTCGGGTTGTAGCGCAGGGCGAGCTTGACGTAGCTGTAGATATCGTCACAGTCACGTCGGGCTTGGCACTCTGTAGGCAGGTCTCTGCGGTCCTTAGCCACGGGGTACGCGGAGATACTGCAAAGCTGGTGGATGATGAATCGCACTAACACCGTCTGGCTGGTCGTCATGGTAAAGGGCAGGATGTGGTCGCCGGCTGGCTCTCCGAAACTTTGGCGCAAAGCTTCGTGAGAGTAGTGCATGAACTGGTCTTGCTCGACGTGGTCGGTGCGATGCGGGCCCGATGACCAGTCGTACAGCAACTTCGGGTTGTTCATGCTCTCTGCAGTACTTGATGATATTGTGGGCATGTATCTCGACTTGGGCAGTTCGGGTCGTAGTGGATGCTGCTGATGGGGTCGACGAGGCTGCCGATCGCGCCGTGCGGGATGCCGATCCTCGTGCCCCCCCGCGCGAAGGCCAGGAGGTGGCTCATCGAAGGGGCGTCTGGGCTCCCTCGTAGACGGTAGACAGGCCTGCGGCGGCGGTGGGCCTGGTGGCCTTCTTCGGTGGGGTTGGTCTGTGGGGAGTGCAGACGTTCCCCTCACGTGTCGGGGGAGTTGGTTTGGGGGCCGGCTTGCTAGGGGCTCGCGGAGCAGTCTCTGCGGTGTTGACCTGCTTGGCCCTCGGGCCGGGCCGCCTGTCGTCTGCTAGTTGGGCCGAGATGGTGGGCTGAGGTCGAGAGCGCGTGTCCGTGGGCATGCCCGCCTTCCCGTGTCGTGGCGTTGGGGATTTGGCTGGCACTGCTTGCCATAGCTGATTGCTTGGTGGTGGCGCCTCCTGGTGTCCCTCCTTTTGGTAGGCCCGCCTCCGTCGTGGTGGGGTGAGCTGGCCTCTTGTTGTTGCTCGGCGTTATGGTGGTCGCATGGATTGGGTCGGTTGGCTGGACACTCTGGGCGTTGCTTTGCGTGCCACTGTCTGTGGGATGATCGTGCTGAGTCGGTGTGGGTGCTGTTGGCGTTGGCGCTATCCGTCAGCCATCAGTTCGATGAGGTCGTTGATATCCTGCTGGATGCGGTCCGTTTCCTCTTTTGGTTCAGTCTGTCTTGGCATCTGCGTCGTGGTGGGCAGGGTCGGTTGGCGCTGGGTTTGGTTAATGTCGGAGTGGTCTGTCGCCGTAGGGGGGGTTGCCGTTGGGATCCCTGCGATTTTCCTCACGATGCCGTCCGGGTGCAGAAAGCTGTCGTGCTGGGTGTTCATGGGGTCGTGGATGTGGGCCTCGACCTCAGGGTTGCCCGCTAGGTAGTTCAACAGCTCGTCAGTGGTCATCCCCATGACGTTGTTCTTGATGGTGTCTAAGTGTCTCTTGTAGAGGTCGTTGCTGTGGTTGTACTTGGCCACCTGTGCGTCTATGGCAGAGATGTCGACGTATACCGAGCGAGCAGGTGGTGATGGCGTCCTTGGTTTCGGTGGTGGTGGTGGTGGTGGTGGTGCTGGTGGTTGTCTTGAACATCGTGTCGCGAGCGGCTGGTTTTGGACTGTGATCTTTTGCTCGTTGTAGTAGAACTTGTCGGTGGTCATCGAGATGCCCCTCTTCCGGCCGTGCATGAGTAGGTAGTTGCCGGGGTCGTCCCAGGAT